TAGACATATAGACAGACAGACAGACAGGCAAAGAGAAAGACCAAACAGAAGAATGAGCTATAGCTTTTGCATATCGGACACTCGTGAGTTGGCAAGCACAAAACAGGAATCTTTAACTCTTCCAAACGTTTCCAATAGGCATAATTACCGAAATGAGTCAGGGGATAAAGCACAACCTGTAATCAATGTGCCATATTATTTTGTTAAAAGGACATGGACTAGAGATTGGGGAAATCACATCAGATATCACCTTATAAAGTAGCGTCGTTTGCGCGTTAGCCTCGTGGTTAGAACCTCGGACCCATGGGTTTAAATCCCGACACTGTGTCCTTGGGAAAGCTGCTCTTCAGGAATTTTCCTGAGTTCTCTCAGGTAGGAATGTGTATTCGGCTATAATCCTTGTCAGTTTGTTAGCTTTTGAGCACTTAACGTACACTGTGTGTCCTAGCAAACCGAAAATGCCTCTGAATGTTCGTGCGTCTGCTGGGTAATAGTGGGAGATGGGCGCTTTACAAATGCTATTAATAATTATTAAAGTGACCAATGCAGTAATAAAATCACACTTATTTAAAGGCAATCGAAAAGGTTACGTTTTAGGTTCACTTTAAAAAGCATACATTTTGGACTCTTGGTCTGTCAACAAAACAAATACCTTAATAATGTGAACCTGTCGATCACTGTCATGAAGTTTTTGCCTAAATCAAATTGGTGAACAGCCTTGAAGTCTTTTGATCTTGGTGGCGTACTGCAAAATAGAAAAGTGAATGTTGTTTAGATAACGGAAAGTGACTATTTCAGCAAAATAGAATATCATTAGCATTATCTCAATCTTTAAAGAGTGAAAATTCCTCAACTGGAAAGTTATTCCTGGGTATAGGTCTCCGGGTAAAACGAGAAAACTCTGAAAAGCATCTGGATTCGAATCCACAATTTTAGCGCTTGTCAGATTCATCAACAGTTTGCCAAACATCGAGATGGTAACTGTTGTCCGTTTCCAAGCTGATTTCTTAGAAACCATAAAGACGCTGGGCCCGTTGCCACAATATTTGCCACAAGGTTATCATTTATTCTTGCTTTCTGTGCTCCATTAGCTTGTTTGAAAATCTGAACTGGTTCATAAAAAACTACTGTAAATAAAATACAGTATGCTGAACGTGAAGGAGAGCAGCAGAGCTCTAAGCAATCAATAACAAACCTTCGAGGTATGCTGAGTATGTTGCATCCAACAAACTTGACAAAAATTGCACTCCTAAAATGGGATTTGAAATCACGAATACTGGCATCGAAGACGTCGTGTAGATCCACACCACTCAGATCAATGTATCTGGTCCTAGGGTCAATGAAGCTCAGGTTGGCAAGTGGCTGGGGGGAAATGACAACAGGATAGGGTTCTAAAACTGAACAATGGATAATGATTTGTTTTCAGTGCTTTTTTCACTATTTTACTTCTTCTTATTTTATCAGCATTATATTGATTCGTTCGTGACCTGTCTAGTGTTACAGAAATAAAAGAATTGATTTTCTCATTTTGTCGTAGATCTATAGTGAATGAAGTCACCCAGGAGGATTATGTTGGTGTCTCACAATTCTTTGAAAATGCTTTGATTTGAGAATTGATCGCCAGCGCACAACACTCGCTATTGCATATCTAAATCTTCACTACCCCCTCATTACACTCACACACACACATACACACACACATACACACACACACACACACACACACACACACACACGCACGCACGCATGCACACACACACATACCGCATATGTGTACTGGGCTCTAAACATTTACGTATCTTCGAGGCAGGCGTATGACCGTGTGTGGAGACAGGGACTGTTCTACAAAATGCAAAAGCTTGGGATGGCAGGAAGAATGTACAGCTGGATCAAGAACTTTCTGTCTTGCAGAACTATCCAGACGTCATTTGACAGCAAGATTTTTTCACAGAGGACACTCAAGGAAGGCTTCCCACAGGGGTCAGCACTCAGCTGTACCCTCTTCCTGTTGTTCACGAACGACTTGCCAGATGTCATCTCCTGCCAGAAAGCACTCTATGCTGACGACTTACTCTTCTGGAACAAAGGAAGTGACATGAGAGCACTGAACCAAGCCATCAACGCGGACCTGACTACAATCCCGTCCTACTGCCAGCTTTGGAAGATGGAGATCAACACAGACACGACTGTTTTTGGACTCTTCAGCCTCAAAAACAAAGTTCCAGCAAGTCAGATAAACCTTAAGATCAATGGAACCACCATCATACATGAGGACTATCTCAAGTACCTTGGTGTACAACTGGACCGAAAGCTGTCTCTCAAAGAGCACTTTGGGGAGTTGACCTAGAAAGCCACCTCCAGACTAAACCTCCTGAAACACCTTTCATCACTCAACTGGGGAGCTGCCAAAGCAACCCTCCGACAACTTTATATAGGGTATGACTACTCCCTACCACTACAATCCATAGCCAGCCAAAGCCCTCTGGCACAGCTTGACAGAGTACACAACCAAGCACCCAGATATGTTTCTGGCGCGATGAAGACCACGCCTACAAGTGCCTGCAAAATCCACACCAACATAGAACCACTGGACCTCAGAAGAAAGAGTGCAACACTCGAAACCTACGAACGATTTGTTCGGCTAGAAGACAAAAACGAAAACAGGAAAATGGATGAGTAGGAACCAAGAACACGCATCCAGAAGGCCTCCTTCATGCGAGAAGCAACAAAACTACTTGAGGAGTTTGACGCACCCGAGAACAGAGAACCAATCATCAACATCAGCAGCGAACCTCTATATTAGCAGACACCAGAAACCACAATAAGGACGAGACTTCTAGACCCTTCTTGTGACACGACCACACCAGAAGAAATCCGAGGAACTATTGCCCTGGAGACAGTGGACTCGTATGCTGAAACTCCAATGCATGCATACACAGATGGACAGCAACAAACGCTACCCGGAATGTTGGATACGGATCTATCATCAAATATCAAAACAAACTTGGAGAGAAGAAGCAGACCCAACTATTTGGCCCATGTGGAGAGAATCGCCATAGTAAAGACCCTGGAGCAGATTACCCAAGACTTTTTTGAAGGCGCAGTAACACCAGGGGATGTTGTTGTCTTCTCAGACTCAATGTCAGTTCTCCAACATATTTCCACTCCTTAAACCACGAGGAGATTGGTCTTATAGATGTAACTCAATAGAATGACCAAACACAAAATGAGAATAGACATCTGCTTTCCTCTTGAAAAAAAAAAGAATGGTGATCTGAACATGTAACCT